AAGGTCTCTTCCAGCTCTGACATTCTATGTTCTGAGCTCCCTTCCAGTTCTAATATTTTATGTTCTAGGGTTCCTTCCTGCTCTAACATTCTATGTTCTAAGCTCCCTTCCAGCTTTAACAGTCTATGTTCTAAGCTCCCTTCTAGCTCTGTCATTCTGTGTTCTAAGGTCTCTTCCAGCTCAGACATTCTATGTTCTAAGGTCTGTTATAGCTCTGACAGTCTATGATCTATGTTGTAAGCTCACTTCCAGGTCTAACATTCTATGTTCTAGGTTCCCTTCCAACTCAGACACTGTACACTCTACAGCCCCTATAGATCTACTCTCAAGAAAGTGACAAAGAAAAATGAGCTATGTCCCAAGATAAAAAGATTGAGTTTGTTGTATTGGGCAATTGAAACCAACCAACTACAGGAAATTTGGGCAAATTATTTAGAAAGACCCACTGTTACTATACATATAGACGAGGTCTTTGGGCCTCTGTAAATATCCTGAGATAGAGAATTGGGCCTGAAGCTGTTAGTTGTAATCATCTCTTCAAAGACTGAGGGAAATCAGCTTGGATCCAGAGATCCTAGGATGGATACTAGAGGGAGTCTTAAAGGAGAGCTGACCTGCATGAGGAGAAGTACCTCAAATATTACTAATCCCCCTGCAACTGGTCTGGCCCCGGGACTCCACCAACCTCTGCCTGCATTGTGCCTCCTACCCCCACTTTCTGGGGATTGAATCAACAAAGGCTTCTGCTCCTGTGGAGGCTGTGAGGACCTCCTTATATAGGGGACCCCAGGGCTCCCTTCAGAATGCCTAGGATGCTGGGCTGTAGGCTGCCTCAGCCAGGGGTCCCATTGTTGACCACACCTCCAGGTCCTTGTACTCAGCCACGTCAGCACCATCCCTCGGATGTTCTAAACCACTTTTCTCCACCCTTCAAAAATCCCTGGTTTACTGTTGAAAAACTGCCTTTAGGCTTATGCCCTTTTCCCAGAAATTACTTTTCACTGGTCATGCATTAACTTACACTTGTACACGTTTGCCCCAGCAAAATGAAAGTCTGCTCCACTTTATCTTTGTATCCCCAGTGCCAGTGGGCACAGAGTCGGCCCTCAGAAATACTTGTTGACTTAAATCGAATAGTATTTAGAGCTGGCAAAAACCTTAGAAGTTGTCTGGTCCGACCTTTTCTTTTTACAGATAAGGATACCACAACTCAGAGAGAAGTGACTTATCCGAGGACACACTTGGAAAAGCCAGGACTTGAACCCAGATCATTCGAGTCCAATTTCAGCACTCTCCACTGTACAATGCAGCCTCTTTGCAAAGAAATACTTGATTATACAAATTGAGATAATTTATGCTTAATAAAAACTTATGGATGTCATCCACAGGCACGACTCATGATGTCCACTGCCTGGGGCCGGGAGGGCACTGGACTTGGAGCTAGTGGGCCCCAGGATTTGAGCCCCAGCTCTGCCAGGTAGGTGACAACGGGCAAGGCCACTTCATTTTCTCACCTGAAAAATATTTCTGCCACCCATGTCGCAGGACCATCGTGAAAGAGGAGCTCAAAGTGTTATGGATGCACACATCCATATGTATGTGTGGGGAGGGGGCTGTGGTGAGGACTAGAGTGCTTTGTGAGGTACAACACTGTGGAAATGGGAATTATTCTACTTCTAACATTCTAGCTGGGACGATCAACCTGCTGGGAAAACATCAGAAAAACTCTAATAAGCTTTTCAAAATTATCTACAAGTTAGGAACAAGAGAACACAGAGTCATAACTCACCTTGCTTTGCAAAACAAGAATCTGCTGGGCCCGACCGCGCCAAGTTCCGGGGGAGGATAACAGCTGCTGAATGTTGACGTCCTCCCCAACCTCACTTGCTAAAACCTACAAATCAGGGGCCAGTGGGATTAGTGCCCATTGCTGCATGTGAACCCCAGCTGACCCCCTCCTTCTGGGACATTGCGCCATAGGGTTCAGGGACAAGGCTAATAGAGGGTGAGGGTAGAGGAGATAGCCACCCACCTGATGGATGCCCAGAATGCCTAAGTATTCCCCCCCCCCAAAACTGCCAGGGTGCAGAACAAATAACCTTAAACCCCAGGGTGCAGAAAGCTCTCTTTCCAACTCTAACTCATTTCCCCCCAATACACGACAAATGAAACATAAACTTGGCCATGGCAAATGCTTGTGTTTCTTTCAACCTGTTTCCCATTTTGCCCCAACCTTGGCTAATTCTGGATAATTACAGGAAGTACATTCCACATGGTGTATTTGCAAAGCTTTGGCCCCACATCCCCTCTATTACAGAGTGTAGAATCAGGAAAAGACAAATGGATGGCCATCTCCAAGCAGCAGCAAATGAAGAGGGAACAGAACATGTCAATCTGGTGCAGTGGGGTGAAATTGCTGGGAGCTTTTGAGGGGGACCAAACAGCAACATCAACAAAGGTCTGTGCCCAGAGCTGACTTGAGATTTCAAATCTGAAAAAGTATGCTTCGATTTATAAACTTGGCCTCTTTAATGCCTGTCAACTGAAACCGAGCCATGTATACAAAGCCTTTTCAGCTTGTTTCCACAATAGAAGACTGTTTCAGAAATCTTGGCTAATATATAAGGCTCCAGCGGAGAGGAAAGATTCTAAAGAATTCTAGCTGCAATCACTATTTAAATGAAAATAAATAACAAACCAATTGGGACCTAATTCTAGCTCTGCACACTTCCTTTAGAAAGAAACCTTTCAGTGTGATGGAAAGTGCCCTGGATTTAGTGAGAGCATCCACTTGGCCACTTACTAGCCCTGTGACCTCTCAGGCAAACTTGCCATTCTCTGGGCCTCAGTTTCTCATTTCTGTAAAATGGAGATAAAAACATTAGCTCACAGAGTTATTGTGAAGAAAGTACTTTGTAGACTGTGAAGCATTATGGAAATGAAGCTTTTGTCATAGTTATTATTGTAGTTGTTATTAAGTAAGCAAAATAAATAAAACAGACCCAGTGACATGTCCAAATCTCACATTTCTGGGGCAATTTACCATGCCAAAAGTGGTTTGCTACAACAAATTCAGACATTTTTTTTGGCAATAATTAGCACATTGTAAGTATTAGAAACCATGGAACTCGGGGTAGAGGCACAAACGGTGAATGTGTGTGTGTGTGTGTGTGTGTGTGTGTGTGTGTGTGTGTGTGTGTGTGTGTGTTCAGTGCCTAAGAGACCATGAAGGTGTGGACTGGGGAGAGACACTAGATACCTCAGGCATCAAACTGAATGAGTCAATAGAGATTTTGGAAAATAGGTCAGTGCATCTTGAGACATGCCCAGCAAGAACTGCCTGATTTTCATGTGACTGAATATTTTCTACTTCTAAATGCAACCTATTGTTCTGGTCTCCCTTGAATCTTACTCTCCTAGGAATTCAACTGAGCTTGGCCATAACACATAAGGAAAAAAAAAGAGCCATCTCTGGCTTGCCCTTCTCGAGGCCAAGGTAAGGCCTATGATGACAGGAGGAAGCTCAGAGATACCTTCTGTGCAACTTTGAGCTCCTGTTTGATGGTCTGGATCTGGTTGCGATATTCTATCATCTTAAAGTTTGCTGAAGCCAGCTTGTCTTGCAAAGTTTTCACCTCTGGATTTTCGGCCTTAAGGAAAAAAAAAAGAAACAGAGAAGGAACTTGTTTTCAAATTCAGAATGTTGAATACCCAGGGGTAACAGAAAGTAACCCAGACTAATAAAGAAAAAAAGTTTGCCAGAATAGGATCAGTACAAAATTTAGAGCTGGGAGGGATCTCAGAGGTTATCTGGCCCACCCCCTCATTTTATAGATGAGCCAGCTGAAATTGACTCATCCCATGGGACATAGGAAATAAGTACCACAGCTGGGTCTCAAACCCAGGTCCTCTGGCTCCAAATCCAATGTCATCCCATAACACCTCTACCAGATTTTTAAATGTCTCAAAATTATAATAACACTTTTAAAAAGGATTTCAAGTTAGAAGGGTCCAAATTCAATGCCCCCATTTTACAGATGATGAAATTGAAGCCTTGAGAAACCCAAACAATTTGATACAATTTGTAAGAGGGGAGCTAAGACTGGAACCCAGGTATTAAGATTCCAAGTCCAGTGCTCTTTTAACATTTATAGTATGGAAGTACATATATGGATTTCTGGGATACCTTGAAACATGCATATGTCCTCATATACATGTGTATACATGTATTTATGCATGCATATCTGTTTGAGTATATATATATATATATATATATATATATATATCATAAAATGAGTTGGAGAAGGAAATGACAAACCACTCCAGTATCTTTGCTGAGAAAACCCAAATGGGGTCATGAAGAGTCAGACACAACTGAACAACAACAACAATAACAACAACAAAAAAAATATATATATGCATATGTGTATCTGTACAATGTATAGACATATGTGCACACATATTATAGACATGTGTACATATACAGTAATGGGTATAGACATGCATGCACATATGTATAGTCACGTGCACACACATGTATATTCACATATACACACACATATGTGTATATTCACATATATGCACATATTCGTTATTAATGGAAAGGCAGTACTGCAACCTTTTGTAAAAGTGCTGGTCTTAGATTCAGAAGACATGGGTCTGAGAGCTGCTTCTACCACTTGGATCATAAGATTTAGAGGTGGAAGGAATCTTAAGAGACCTAACTCAACTCTCTCAACTTTACAGATGAGGAAACTGAGGCTAAGAAATGTTAAATGGCTTGGCCACATTCCCACAGGTAGTGAGTATCCAAGCAAGAGTTAAACTCAGACTAGCTGTGTGACCCTGGGCAAGTCACTTAACCCCAATTGCCTCACCAAAAAGAAAAAAAAAAGTCAAACTCAGATCCTTTTATTCCAAATCCATCATTTTCCCCAATACATTGAATTTCCCTGTCTATAAAATGTCTAACCTCAATGAGGTTAGTTCCCAGCCTTTTCAAGAATGAAGACTGCTATCCGGCCTCAGACCAAACACTTGACACTTACTAGCTGTGTGACTCTGGGCAAGTCTCTTAACCCCAACAGCCTTACCAAAAAAAAAAAGAATAAAGACTGCTTTTCAACATAATTTTTTTTTTTTTACAGACCTTGAAATGGTAGGAGTTGTACTATTAATAGCCATTGATTTGGGGAAAAAAAATGCATGACTGGGTATGGACCCTTTGCAAAAACTTCACAATCTTGGAAAACCACTGTATTGTCCTTAATGATTAAGGTCCCTTCCAGTTCTAAAAGCTGACAATCCCACCTCACATTGTTGTTGGGAAGAAAGTGTTCTGTAAGGCTCTGAATGCTATAAAAATATGAGACTATAAGTTTCTGTTCTATATGTGAGTTATTATCCTATATTATCCTATTATCCTTTCTAAACTAATTTCTTTCCATTGACAATGAAGAGAAAAAAGGAAATTATTTCTCTAACATCAGACTTCCATTCTGAAAAATTTCATTGTAGAGGCAACCTCCAAATCAGAAATATAAGTTCTCACTCCCTAGAGAATGGAAAATCTGGGTAGGACTTGGGTCTCTGGTGGTACTGAGGCTCCCTAACCTAAGTCTCTTATTATTTTTATATATGATTAATGAGGAAGATTACTCAACTGATTATCTTTCCATACAGTTGAGGATTTGTACCTTTAAGTACCATTTTTAAGAAATGCTCAATATTTTGGATGGAAATTTTTCTAAAAGGTAAATGCATATTCCTGCCTTTTTAAATGGAGGGCGCTGAACATCAGTTAACCTTTTCAGGATGACTCAGGGTCACTATAACTTCAATACTCATGGTTTTAAAGCTAGGAGGGACTTGAGCACCTTACAATGGGGGAAACAGTATTTTCCTAATCTTAACATTTTGACATGCTGTTTACTATGTAGCATATAGTACACAGAAGGGAAGAGGAAGGGAGGAGGCAAGACCAAGAAACAGCTAGTAATCCAGTTTGAAAAGTCAAATGTACAAATTCCCCCTGGTGTTCGCACTGTTGTATAATGAGAAGGGGAACACTGAATAAGAGAAATGTGCAGTTCAGAGTCACTTTTCTGATAAGACATCAAATAGAGGTCTCTACGTAGCAAAGATACAATAGACAATTGCCTGGTGTAACTTGATTACCCAAAGCCCTTAGCGGAGACTGCAAGTGGAAATTCAGTAAGTTTGGAACCTGGTTGGCCTCAGGAGGGAGTTCTCCATTCTAGAATGTTTATCTGAGTGTTCTAAGCCTCTGGAGTTTAGATCGCGATTCAGCCAATCTGAAAGGTGATAACGGTAGTTGTCCTGAGGACTGCTCTGTTCCTTGTCTGTGGAAATCTGATCAAAGCCTTTGATCAAACACTTATCAATGGAAAATACACTTCTGAACCAAGTAATTAAGGCTCTCTCCTCCAGCCCCAAGCCTCTCCCCACCTAGCAATGACCTGTGGCAGCAGGCGTTTTTAATACTCAGCACTACGAGGCCCAGAGAAAGGCAGCGTGGCAGAGTGGACAGGGCTCTGGGTTTGGCATCAGGAGCAGAGCGCTGCATTCCTATCCCAGCCCCAACATTCACTATCTATCCATATAAAATTATACTACCTCTTTGACCCTCCAGATTGGTTTTTTGTTTTTGTTTTTTGTCTCTTTAATGGGGATATTGTTTGCTCTACCTGAGTTACGGAATTATTATGGGGAAAGTGTCTTGGAAGTTTTAAAATGCTATAGAAATAGGAGTTATTTTATCATAGCAGGTGCTCTAGCACATTGAAGTAGGGGCAGCGAGGTGGCACAGCGGACAGAATGTGGAGCCTCATCTTTGTGAGTTCAAATCTGACCTCAGACACTTACTTGCTGTGTGACCCTGGGCAAGTCACCCTATTTGCCTCAGTTTCCTCATTTGTAAAATGAGCTGGAGAAGGAAACCACAAGCCACTCCAGCATCTTTGCCAAGAAAATCCCAAATGGGGTCACAAAGAGTTGGACACAACTCAACAATAACAAGGTGTTCTGCAAATTACTGTTGATTTGACGTGCACTATTCCTCCCAGGATAAGGCAGTCTTTGATTTTAGGCTAAGTTGTACAAGGAAATCGAATTTATGCACATAACAGAGTCTGCCTGGCCAATGGGAGCCCCATCCTCAGAGCTCGCTGGGCTCACTCTGCCTGCTGCTAGCCCACCTTCAGCAAGAGGTATTCTACATCTAAGAAGGAAAGGCAATGCTGCCTTCAGAAGTGAACTTAGAATGGTAAATGCTTCACAGAAATGGCTTCAATTATCTTTTATTACTATTATTATTATCATGCTATGTTACGGAAATGCTTGTTTTATTATACATATATTTGTGTATATATATGTATATAAAAACCTGCTTCAAGTTTAAGTTCATTCTCCCTGGGTATGGATGAGGTGGTAGAGGGGAGAGTGTGACCCTAGGTATTACAGAGTAATGTTTCTTTCTTTCTTTTTTGGGGGAGGTGAGGCAATTGGGGTTAAGTGACTTGCCCAGAGTCACACAGCTAGTGAGAATTATATGTCTCTGAGGCCACATTTGAACTCGGGTCCTCCTGACTCTCGGGCTGGTACTCTATCCACTGTACCACCTAGCTGCCCCAGGAGTAATATTTATACTTCTATTCTTGTTATATCTTCTCAATAAATATCCCTTTGTAAAAGCTAATTAATTTTAATCTTAATTGGTTACATTAAGTGGGGTGCTAATCACTGGCAATTGATATGGCAGAGAATACATCAGAGTCTGGGCTGAAAAACAGCAGCCCCAGAGCCCTGAAGGGTAGATACAGCCTTGCTTCAGGTCTCAATCCATCAGAGAAAATGGGAATTGAGATAAGGCTCCTCAGAGCTCATAAGGGTTACAGACACATACATACACGCATACATACATATACACACACATACATCTATTTACTCTTTTGGGATCTTCATTAAGTTATTCAACAAATACTCATTAAAAACCTGCTATATATTGAGCCCTATTCTAGGGAAGAGGGAAGGTGAAAGGAATAAGCATTTATAGAGTGCCTACCATGCGCCAGGCACTATGCTAAGCACTACACAAATATTATCCCATTTGATCCTCACAGCAGGTGAGTACTGTTATTATCTTCATTTATGGTCTGTGGCAGACAGAGGGTAAGTGACTTATCTAGGGTTACACAGCTAGTAAGCCTCTGAGGCTGGATCTGAATTCAAGTCTTCCTGATTTCAGGCCCAGCACTCTGTCCACGGCACCACCAGCTGCCTATACTGGACACTGAGCAGGACACAGAGTTTAGATAAGACAGGGTTCTCTGCTCCCATGGTGCTTACAAGGTCATCCATATTTCCAAAGTGGCATGCCAAGTCCTTGCTTACTGACTCCCTCAAAGGAAAGGGAGACTGGTCCATGTGCATGTGGGAACTGTACTTCCACCAACCAGGCCAAACTTGTTGGTGAACACACAGTGATGGATGAACTGCAGGGACATTCCTTGAGCTTCTGTCTCCTAAAAGGGTCCCAGCGGAGGAATGGATGATTGGGAAAAAGGCAAAGAGAAAGCAGTTGGTTCTATCTCCCCCCCATCCCAATCATCTGCTTCCCCCTCGCCCCCTC